CACGAGCCGAAACACCATAGTAAAGAGCCACGACTCGACTGCATTGTTCACGGGACACGGGTTAATCGAATATTAATGACGGAACAGAACATCTGTAACAGAATGAACTGCAACGGCGATGCATTAATGTATATATCATCGTACGGTGGCTCTTTTGCTCGTCGTGTTTGAATAACGGGCCACCGCGTGAAACATCTAGTGAAATAGCTTCTAGTTGTGATTTGAATTTAATCCATTAAGAAGCCAAGCAACGACTTGAATTCCTTTGAATTTCGTAAAATTGTTGCATTTAGACAGAGACGCGATGGCGAATCTTTGGAACTTATTATTGTTAAATTCCATTGGAAAATATTCTTTTTCAATCGATTCGCAGACGTTGCAAGAGAGAATTTTAAGAACCAACTGAAATTTACGTTTGCATCTTCGTTTGAGCGTAGAATGCAGTTGCACTTCACACAATCGAAGATTATTGCATCACATGCTGACGCTTGGTCGCGAAAGAAATCAGAACGTTTATAGAAAATTTTCCACGAACGTATCATGTTTTGAAACTTCATTGACATTATAACGAGAGACTTACTCGATGTAACAGATAGCAAATATTTTTCTCCATTCTAACAGACGTAGATTGAAATTTGAACGTTTATAGAAAATATAACACGTGTCATTATAAAACATTTTTAAGCTTCATTAATATTATAATAAGACTCAGCTATCGTGATTAGACGTACGACAGTAATCACATGGAAATTTCGCTCACGAGAGAATTCGAACATTTGTAGAAACTTTCATCGATACTTCAGTGAGATTCAACTATCACGATTTAATCGTGGAAATTTACTCAGTACAACGTGCAGTAAATTCTTTACTTTCTTCGCTCTCATAAGCGCGAAACGATCGTGCCACAATAACCACGTTATTGAATTTTATTTTCGATAGAACGCGAAACAGTGATTAACCCGCACCGCGTTGTTCAATCTATTTAACGCTGTTTCAAAGCTCCGTCTTTTAGGGGACGAGATTGTAATTTAATCCAACGTGATGATAAATTCAACGATCGGCTCGTAAAAACACACATCGACGATATAAAAACACTTACGTTAAAATATCCGCAGAAAGGACGGAAGAATCATTGGAACTCGCGCATTAGCACTAGCTGTAAATCAATTCAAGATGGCGGAAATACGATGTAAACCGCTTGCAAATCGATTCAGCGATTTATACGCCTTCATTGTGCTCGCTATAAAACGCTCGGCTATAAATTATCGGAAGGGTCGCGCGTTTATCCTGCGAATCGTCGATAAATTATTAATTTAAGGACCTCGGGAATCTCGCGCATTGCCGATTTTTCCATGGTCGATGGTTGCAAAGTTCGAGATTCCTCGCTCCCTGACGAAATAACTGATTTTTATGTAAAACGGAAATACGTCTTACTTGCGTGATTTGCTATAAACACATATACATGTTTGAAGGGCTAAGGATCATAGTCATGCGAGTCACTATGATGTTTCTCGAAGAATTATGTATCCTCGTACAATTCGATGAATCTATAATTTCGAAAAATAATACGTAACAACGAGTAATATATATTGAAAAGTTGTACTACTGTACGAATTGTATTATTATTAAATTTTCGAATTTGAACACTGCAGATGATTATTGAACCTGGTCGCCGTAGAATACATTGAAAAGATATTTTAAATTCCTATCGCCATGAAATATTTTAGAACTTGATGGACGACGAAGGGAAGGCGTGTGTTACGTGCCCGGTCGTTTCGATGTTTCAAGCGAACTGGGTCAGAGAGCGACATTGCGATTGCGCAAGAAAAAGTTATCGAGATCGCCGATCGAGAGTTATTTTAACGCCAATGGCGCGGACGTGAGTTTATGAAAGGCTGGTTTTTCACCGTCACCCGGCAACTGGAAGGAAGCCGGCCATTTTCCACGGTGCAACGGTAACGTTTGTCACGTTCGTCTCACGCGGAATGAACCACGCGGGCGCGTTAACGAACCGCTGCGGCCGCTCGACAAAACAAGCTGTCGGAACGACGTTGCACCGGGCCTGACACAGATGCCATCGCCTGCGTGTCCTTCCTTTTCCACGAGAAAGCGAAAATTACTGTGCCAGCCGAACGAGGCGACTGCGTTTCTCGCGGACGCAACGAGAATTGTAGATATATCAGAGGAACAGATGAAATTCGCGAATTTTCTTCGCTCGAAAAAATTCCCTTTTATATATATAAGGTCCAGTGCAACTCCGTTGAATCATTGGTATCTTTATTTTATTTTGTAAACTCATTATATTAATAAACCTCGATTGTTGTAAGCTTAAAATGACTATACTAATTTTTTACTAAATACGTTCCTGCTAAAGTGTATTTTTTGCTGAGAACATTTTTGCTAAAAATTTTTTACTAAATATGTTACTGGAAGATACGTCTTTCAATTGGTTTCAAATTTTATCGATACAACCATTATACACTGTCATGACAATTCTGACGTTGTTTGAATTATATTGGAAATATATTACTCATTTTAAATTACAGAACTGACGTTACATGTATTACAACGTTATAATATACTTGTATTGTTATTATACACACGACGCGAGTAATATTACATTAGAACATTAGAACTATCGACGATTAAAGCAAACTCAAACATTAATACAAAAAAGATAGATAAACATTTATTACAGTACATCATTTAAATCTCTGTAAAATAAAGCTTCTAACTAAAAGTTATAAATTATTTTA